CAGGCGGGTCTCGAACCCGCGGGCTCAGGCAATCCACTCACCTCAGCCTCCCAAAGGCGCGGGATTACAGGCTGAGCCACCGAGCCCGGCTAATATAAATTTTTTAAATGTTGGCCAGGTGCAGTGGCCTATACCTAAAATCCCACCACTTTGGGAGGCAGAGGCGAGAGGATTGCCTGAGCTCAAGGGTTCGAGACCAGCCTGAGCAACATGGCAAGACCTCGTCTCTACAATAAATCAAGAAAAATAAGCCGGGTGTGGTAACTTGTGTAGGTCCAGCTAAGGTGGAAGGATCGCCTAAACCCAGGTCGAGGCTGCAGTGGCTGTGAGCAGCGTGCCTCTGCACTCCAACCTGGGTGACAGAGTGAGACCTCGACTCAAAATAAATCTTTAAAATGTTTAAAATGACACAGTGGCTACTTTCATGTGTTTTTTTCCTATTATTTTATTGTAAAGATGTGAGGTACAAGTCAGGTTTAGGTACATAAGTGGTCTATGTGATGGTGAAGTTTGGGCCTCCCACTGTCCCTCACTTCCCCTGGTTTAGGACCAGGTACCCTTAACTGGGCACAGTGGCTCACGCCTGTAATCCCAGCACTTTGGGAGGCAGAGGCGAGAGAACTGCCTGAGCCCAGGAGTTTGAGACCATTCTGGACAATTTGGCGAGATCTCATCTCTACAATAAGTTTTTTAAAATTAGCCAGGTGTGGTGGCACATGCCTGTAGTTCCAGCTGCTTGGAAGGCTGAGGTGGAAGGATAGCCTGAATCCAGCAGGTCGAGCCTGCAGTGGCCAGGAGCGTGCCCCTGCCCTCCAGCCTGGGCGAGAGTGAGACTCTGACGCAAAAAAAAGAATCAGGTACCCTTAGTGATATTATGTGCCACCCCCCACCCCCATAGTGGTTACTTTCTTTCTTTTTTTTTTTTTTTTTGAGTTGGAGTCTCACTCTGTCGCCCAGACTGGAGTGCAGTGGCCGCTCCCGGCCACCGCAGCCTCGACCTGCTGGGCTCCGGCGATCCTCCCGCCTCAGCCTTCCAAGTCGCCGGAACTACAGGCACGCGCTACCACGCCCGGCTCATTTTTATTTATTGTAGAGATGAGGTCTCACCAAGTTGTCCAGAATGGTCTCAGAATGTCCAGAATGGCCCGGCTGCATTTGATTATTTTTATGTATCTTTAAGAAAGTAGCCAGGCACGGTGGCTCAGCCTGTAATCCCGCACCTTTGGGAGGTTGAGGTGAGGTGAATGGATTGCCTGAGCCCGCGGATTCGAGACCCACCTGGGCAACTTGGTGAGACCTCATCTCTACAAAAAATCAAAAATCAGCTGGGGGAGGTAGCGTGCACCTGTAGTTCCAGCTACTTGGAAGGCTGAGGCGGAAGGATCGCCGGAGCCCAGCAGGTCGAGGCTGCGGTGGCCGGGAGCGGCCACTGCACTCCAGTCTGGGCGACAGAGTGAGACTTCAACACAAAAAATAAAATAAAAATAATCAAATGCAAGAGGGAAGTCAGTCACCCCGATGCCAGAAATAGGGGTGTTCCTGACATCCAGTGGGTGGACGCTGTGAACACTGCCTCGCATTCTACAAGGCACTGACGGGCTCTCGGGTTCATAATCAATAGAGTCAGAATCTCACCCTGTGGCCCTGGCTGGAGTGCAGTGGCACGATCACGGCTTACCACAGCCTCGACCTCCTGGGCTCAGGTGACCCTCCAGCCTCAGCCTCCCAAGTAGCTAGGACTACAGGTGCACACTGCCACACCCAGATGATTGCTGCTGTTTTGTAGAGTCTCACTATGTTTCCCAGGCTGGTCTTGAACTCCTGGCCTCAAGTGACCCTTCCGCCTCGGTCTCCCTGCTGGGATGACAGGCGTGAGCCACCATGAAAAGCAGGCAGAGACATTAGGAAGAATAGCATCGCTTCTCTTCCATGAGAAGAGCGAGGAGGTGGCCCTCATGGCTGCATGACCTCAGGTCACACATGCCACGGAAGACGTCACTGGACTCACTCCTGGGGAGGGAGCATTGTACTCAGGGGTGTCAGTGGTCTGGTGAGTCTTCACAGGGCGTGATGCCCCAAGCCTCTCGTTAGGAGTCAGTGAGAGAAAAGATAGCGGTAGGTTTAGGCCATCATAGGACCCACCTCACAGCCGTTGGGAGGAATAGATGAGACCTCCCTAGGAGGTCAGCACGGCACCTGTCCCAGAGTGTTGACTGAATAATCATTAGGGCTTTGTGTTTTTTTTCCCCAGAGAGGGTCTCGCTCTATTGCCCAGGCTGGAGTGCAGTGATGTAATCATAGCTCGCTACAGCCTTGATCTCCTGGGCTCAAGCGTTTAAGGCCAGCCTGGACCACCTAGCAAGACCCTCAAGTCTATAGAAAACTTAAATTAACTGGGCATAGTGGCATGCACCTGCTGTTCTAACTACTTGGGAAGCTGAAGCAGGATCACTTGAGCCCAGGAGGTTGAGATTATAGTGAGCTAAGATTACATCACTGCACTCCAGCCTGAGCAATAGAGCAAGATCCTCTCTGGGGGACAAAAACAAAGTCCTAATGATTATTCAGCCTACACACTGGAACAGGCAGCGGGCTGATCTCCTAAGGAAGGTCTCATCTAATCCTCCCAAGGGCTGTGAGGTGAGTTCTTTATGGCCTAAACTTTCCAGTGTCTTTTCTCTTATTCATACTTCTTTATTTTTTTTAATAGGAATCTCACTCTGTCACCCAGACTGGAGTGCAGTGGCATGCTCCCAGCCACCATAGCCTCGACCTGCTGGGCTCCGGCGATCCTTCTGCCTCAGCCTTCCAAGTAGCTGGAACTACAGGCGCGCGCTACCATGCCCGGCTAATTTTTTTTTGATTTATTGTAGAGATGAGGTCTCGCCAACTTGCCCAGGCGGGTCTCGAGCCCGCAGGCTCAGGCAATCCACTCACCTCAGCCTCCCTAACTTTTTGACTTATTGTAGAGACAAGGTCTGCCAAGTAGCCCTGACTGGTCTCGAACCCATGGGCTCAGGCAAACCTCTCACCTCAGCTTCTCGAAGTGCTAGGATTATAGGCATGAGCCACTGCACCTGGCCTTATTCAGACTCCTAATGAGAGGCTTGGGGCATCAGGCCTCGTGAGGACTCACCAGCTGGGGCATCTGTGACCATGCCACTGCACTCCAACCTGGGCAGCAGAGTGAGACTCCAGACTCAAATAAATAAATTATTATGAATGTAGATGACAGGTGTGGTACTAACTAAATAAGCTGGGTGCGGTGGCTCATGCCTGTCATCCCAGCACTTTGGGAGACCAAGGCGAGAGGATTGGCTGAGCCCATGGGTTCGAGGCCAGCCCAGGCAACTTGGTGAGACCTCGTCTCTACAATAAATCAGCAAGTTAGCCAGATGTGGTGGCACACGCCTGTAGTTCCAGCTACTTGGGAAGCTGAGGCAGAAGAACCGTCTGAGCTCAGGAGCTCAAGGCTGTGGTGGCCGTGAGTGTGCCCCTGCACTCCAGCCTGGGCGACAGAGTGAGGCTCCGACTCAAAAAATAAATAAGTAAACAAACAAACAGACATTATAGGTGTGGTCTGTGCATATACACATAAGTCAATTGGTATCTGGGTTTCCTCAGAGGAATAAGCCCACGAGTCGCCGTTGTCTAGGTCACTGGCATCCCCCCCCCACACACACACAGGAAGCAGCAAAGCCTATGACTCGGCTGGATTTTTTTTTTTTTTGGTGTTTTCATTTTATTTTTATCAACGAGCGAGTGTCAGCGTCTGCGGTTTCAACGATCACAGGAACTGAGGGAAGGCCTTGGGCCCGGGCTGTCCCAGGGCCTCAGGACCCACTGTTGGGGGAGGGTGGGGGTGGTTTCCCCAAACGCCACCCTGGGTGACCTCGGATAACGAGGCCTGGTCCTCCTGTCCTCTCACCAGGTCCTGGCCCACAGGACCACACAGCCACCACTCCCCGGCCGGGCAACTGACCGCTGACCACGCCGCCCCGAGTGGAGGTAGGTCGTTCCATGTAGCTGGAGAAACAGGCTCAGAGAGGAGCTGGGGCCAGCACAAGATCCCACTGCAGGTCAGACACCGGCCCAGGTCTTCCCAGAAGGCCATGGGGTCCCCACGGTCACCGAGGGCTCCATGACAGGAGCACCTCCTGCCTCGGCGTTACTGGCTCAGGCTCCTGGGCGAGGACGTGACAGCCCATCACAGCCGGCAGCAGACGCATGGCCCAGCCTGCCCTGGTCTGTGCACTCCTGGTGCCAGCAGCAGGCGGTGCCAGCACTGCCTCCAGAGGGCGCTACGGGCCAGGCAGCCAGCAGCCACAGGTCCGAGACTGGGCCTCCCAGGAGGTTTTCTCTTTTGTTTTGAGTTGGAGTCCCACTCTGTCATGCAGGCTGGAATGCAGAGGCACGCCCACGGCCACTGCAGCCTCGACCTGCTGGGCTCTGGCGATCCTTCCACCTCAGCCTTCTGAATAGCTGGAACCACAGGCACGTGTGACCCTGCCCGGCTAATTTTTCAATTTATTGTAGAGATGAGGTCTTACCAAGTTGCCCAGGCTGGTCTCAAACCCCTGGGCTCAGGCAATCCTCTCGCCTCCGCCTCTCAAAATGCTGGGCTGACGGGCATGAACCACCGCCCCCGGTCCATGAGGCTTTCCAGCGTGCTCCAGAGGTCACCTGGAGAGGGACTGTTCCCCCGCAGAGGACCCACGGGATGTCTCCAAGCCCACCAGGCGGGCACTTTCAGCCCAGAGCCTCCGAGCGACCTCCTCGTCCTCGGCCTCTGGGGCTGGAGCCTTCTCTCTGAGTCCATCGAAGTACTTTCCGGAAATGCCCCTCAGCTCCTCTGCCACAGCCAGGTACGTGCTGGGCTGGGCCGCCAGTTGAGGGCTCTTGACCAGCAGCCAGAAGATGGGCCCTGCAATCAGCCCACACACACTCAGAGAGGAGGACCCCCCCCCAACTCAGGGTCTACTAAGGCCAGAAGCTGCCTGGAGCCCACAGAGCCCACCTCCAGCCCTTGGTCCTGTGGTTCCCTCCACCTGGAGTTCCCTTCCCCCACCCAGGCAAATACCTCCAGACACAGGGATCAGCCCAAAAGCTGCCTCCCCCAGGAAGCCTTCGGGTTTTTCCCAGGAAAATGGAACCTCTTCCTCCCCTTGGCCAGCCTCCAGTCCTCACCCTACCCGTCTTTTCTTGAAATACTTTTTACTTATTGAATGCATCTGGCAGCAGCCTCAGCTTAAGATCTCTCACATCCAGCCCACTCCATGTTTTCCAGGGTTATAAACACTACTTAGAGAGCTCTAATTAAGGCCAGGTGTTTGGCTCATGCCTATAATCCCAGCACTTTGGGAGGCCGAGGCAGGAGGGCTGCTTGAGGCCAGGAGTTCAAGACCAACCTGGACAACATAGCAAGAACCCAAATCTTAAAAAATTTTAAAATTAGCTGGGTGTGGTGGCATGTGCCTGTGGTCCCAGCTACTCGGGAGGGTGAAGCAGAAGGATCACTTGAGCCCAGGAGGTCCTGGCTGCAATGAGCTATGATTACATCAATGTGCTCCAGCCCAGACAACAGAGTGAGACCCTCTCTGGGGGAAAAAGCAAAGCCCTAATTATTATTATTATTTTTTTTTTTTGAGTTAGAATCTCACTCCTTCACCCAGGCTGGAGTGCAGGGGCACGCACGCTCACGGCCACCCCAGCGTTGACCTGCTGGGCTCCAGTGATCCTTCCTCCTCAGCCTTCCGAGTAACCAGACCTACAGACGCAGCCCTAATTATTTATTCAGCCTACACGCTGGGACAAGCACCGTGCTGACCTCTTAAAGAAGATCTCATCTAATCTTCCCAATGGCTGCGAGGTGAGTCCTATTATGGCCTTCAGTTTGCCAACGAGGAAACAGAGGCTCAGAGAGGTGAAAGCATTTCCCAGGGGGCACAGCTACTTTGGAGTGAAGCCTGAGTTACCAAGCACAGCCTGACTCCAGGAGTCAGTTCCCTGGCCTCCTCCTCAGACACAAGGCATCCTAGGCCAGGCCCAGTGACTCACACCTATAATCTCACCACTTTGGGAGGCCCAGGCAGGAGGATCGCTTGTGCCCAGGAGTTTGAGATCAGCCTGGGCAATGTAGCAAGACCTCATCTCTACAAAAAAAATTTTTTAAATTAGCCAGGTGTGGTGGTACACCCCTGTAGTCCCAGCTACCCGGGAAGCTGAGGAGGAAGGGTCACCGGAGTCCAAGAGTGAGCAATGATTGTGCCAGAGACCCTCAAAAAAAGAGGAGAGGGACGGTTTCCTTATCGGCCAAGGGGAATCTGGCTGGCTACCTGGCGCTGTTTGAGAAGGGTCACAGGGGATGGACAAGAGCCAAGCCCCAGGGACAGTATGAAGGGGCGCCCCGGGCCCTGGGCCGAGAACAGGGGTCAAGGGCTCCATGGGACCAGGCAGGAGGGGACTCACCGAGCGTGAAGTTGGAGAAGGTGGAGCTATGCATGCCTGTGTGTCTGCCCAGCTCCGTCCTGGCCACGCCGGGGTGCAGGGCATTGGCGGTCACGCCAGAGCCTGGGGAGGAACACATGGCAGAGGGCAGCCGGGTCAGCCTTCCCCAAGGCCCAGGCCTCCCCATGAGGCTGCCTCCCACACATGAGGCCCCATGCCCACCTGCCCCGTCAAGTGGTGTCCTCAGGGCAGCCCTGCTTGTGTGCCCACAGAGATTTCCCAGGGCCTGGCTCTCCCAGATCACCAGCCTCCACCTCAGAGCCAGAGTCAGGGCTGGGCAGGGAGGGCCGTCCTGCCATGGGTGCTGAGCGGGCTGGGCCCTGCCACTACACAGGCCACCTCCCCTGCCCGTCTGTGAGCACTGTGTCCCTGTATGCTCACAAATGCCCTCAGGGGCCCAAATCACCCCTTTTCCTCCTCTTCCTCCTCCCTGTTCCCCCTCCCCTCCTCCTCTCTCTCCTCCTCCCCTGCTCCCCCCCTCCTCTTCCTCCTCCTTTTTCTCGTCTTCCTCCTCCCCCACCCCCTCCTCTATCTCCCCCTCCACCCAGATCACCAATGGCTCAGCAGCCCGTCCAACATCCTCAGGGAGCGAAACCCCATGGGGTACACTGCCTAGGAATAAAGGACAGTCAGAGGAAGGAAAGCAGGGTGGCCCGCATGCCCTGCTCCTGTGACTCTGTCCAGGAGCCACACCAGGGCCTCCCTTCGGCCCAGGGTCACAGAAGGTCGGCTGCCAGGCCTAGTGGAGGAAGATGGAGGCCACGCCCACACCTTGTAGCCGCCGGCTCAGCTCCTTGGTGAAGAGGACCACGGCCAGCTTGCTCTGACAGTAAGCCGCTTTGGTGTTGTACGTCCTCGTCTGCCAGTTCAGATCATCAAAGTCCATGTGCCCGGCGACATGGGCCAAGGACGAGAGGTTGATGACCCGCGAGGGGGCCGAGGCTTTCAGCTTGTCCAGCAGCAGGTTGGTCAGGAGAAAGTGACCTGGACAGGAAAGGAAACTCCTGTCTTTCAGAAAGGCGGTTCCATTCTATTTCACGTTCCCACCAGTTGCATGAAGGCTGCTGCTTCTCTATGTCTTCACCAACATTTGCTATTGTCTTTAATTTTTTTTTCTGACCTTGGGGGTGTCTCACTCTGTCACCCAGGCTGGAGTGCAGTGGCACACTCATGGCTCACTGCAGCCTTGACCTCCTGGGCTCAGCGATCCTCCTGCCTCAGCCTCCCGAGCAAGCAGGGACTACAGGCATGCACCACTATGCCTGGCTAATTTTTTTTTTTCTTTTTAGAGATAGAGTCTGTTACCCCTTCAACAGGTCCCTCGAGAACAGGGACTCCCAGCCTGGGCAACATTGCGAGACCTCATCTCTACAGAAATTCAAAGAAGAATTATTAGCCAGGCATGGTGGTGCGCACCTATAGTCCAGGCTACCTGGGAGGCTGAGGCAGGAGGATTGCCTGAGCTCAGGAGGTCGAGGCTGCACTGAGCTGTGATGGTGGGTGACAGAATGAGACATTGTCTCTAAAAAGACCAAAAAAAATTTTTTTAAAGGTTGGGCACAGTGGCTCATGTCTGTAACCCTAGCACTTTGGGAGGCTGAGGTGGGAGAATTGTTTGAGCCCCAGAGTTTGAGACCAGTCTGGGCAAGACAGCAAGACCTCGTCTCTACAAAAAAATCAAAAAATTAGCCCAGTGCGGTGGCACATACCTATAGTCCCAGCTACTCAGGAGGCTGAGGAGGGAGGATCACCTGAGCCCAGGAGGTCGAGGCTGCAGTGAGACCTAACCACGCCACTGCACTCCAGCCTGGATGACAGAGCGAAACCCTCCAATTATTTCTTTTTAAAAGTCTCTACTCGGTGGCTCAGCCTGTAATCCCAGTGCTTTGGGAGGCTGAGGTGAATGGATTGCCTGAACCTGGGGGTTCGAGACCCGCCTGGGCAACTTGGCGAGACCTCATCTCTACAATAAGTCAAAAATTAGCCGGGCATGGTAGCGCGCACCTGTAGTTCCAGCTACTTGGAAGGTTGAGGAGGAAGGATCTCCAGAGCCCACCCAGCAGGTCGAGGCTGCAGTGGCCGGGAGCAGCCACTGCACTCCAGTCTGGGTGACAGAGTGAGACTCCAACTCAAAAACAAAAAAAGTCTCTAAAAATAAAAAATTACAATAGAAAAAATAATTTTTAAAGAAAGGCTGAGGACAGATGGAGGCTAAAGACAGGTGGAGGCTGAGAAGAGACTAATGGAGCAAACATCGCAGTGTTTTCTGACAAAGGGACCGAGAGCCAGGGGCTGTGGAGCGTCGGGACAACTGAGCAGTGTCCACGCGAGGACGGAGCAGCCGCCCGGGCGCCTGGCAGAGCAGAGCAGGGCCCCTCCGCGGGCGATGACACCGCCTGCGGAACCCACTGTCACCGGGCCCCGGCCTCACCCAAGTAGTTAACGCCAAACTGCATCTCGAAGCCGTCCTCCGTGGTCCAGTGGGGGCAGCGCATCACCGCCGCGTTGTTGACCAGCACGTCCAGGCGCTCCTCCTCTGGGAGACAGGGGAGGGGTGGAGGCTTCAGAGTGCGGACGGCCCCGCCCCGTCCGGGACCCACCCGCCCGCCCAGACCCCATCCCTGCCGAGGCCCAGTTCATTCCCCTCCCCTGCACAAGCCAGCATCTAAACCTGTCCAGGCCCCGCCTCTGCCTAAGGCCACACCCCTGAAAAGGGCCCCGCCCCACCCAACCGAGGGTCCGCCCCTGCCCAAAGTCCCACTGGTATCCCAGGCCTGCCCAAGCCCCAGGCCCCGCCCAACCGAGGCCACGCCCCCAACCGAGGCCACGCCCACGCTCTCCTGCTCTCTGGAGTCCCCGAGAGCAGCCCCCGCTGGAAACAGGGTCCGCGCAGAAGGAGCCAGTTAGGCCGAGGGCGCTGGGGCCCTGACCCACCGGTGAGTCTCCTCACGAGAAGGGAAGGCAAAGATTCAGATGGAGACAGGCAGGGCAAAGGCCAGGGGGTGACCGAGGTGGGGCCTGAAGAGACCCCTCTCCAAGATAAACATGGGGGGGCCGCCTGAAGCTGGAGAAGCAGGAAAGGCACCCCACCACCACCCACCTCAGAGGGGGCGCCGGTCATGCAGGCACCTTGACTGCAGACCTAAGGCCACCTGAGCTCTAAGAATGCATTTTTGGTGTTTTGTTTTAGTTTTTATTTCTGTTTTTGCTTTGAGACAGGGTTTCAATTCTGTGGCTCAGGCTGGAGTGCAGTGACACGATCGTAGCTCACTGCAGCCTCCACCTCCTGGGTTCAGGTGATCCTCCCGCCTCAGCCTTTGGGGTAGCTGGGACTACAGGTGTGCGCCACCATGCCTGGTTAATTTTTTAAAATTTTTTATTTCTGTAGAGATAACATCTTGCTGTGTTGCCCAGGCTGGTCTTGAACTGGGCTCAAGTCATCCTCCCACTTCGGCTTCCCAAAGTCCTGGAAGTACAGGTGTGAGCTACAGCACCCAGCTACTGAGGAGGTTGAGGTGGAAGGATTGCTCGAGCCCAGGAGGTTGAGGCTGCAGTGAGCCATGATCATGTTCACTGCACTCCAGCCTAGGCGACAGAGTGAGACCCCGACTCAAAAATAATAAATAAATAAAACGTGAAAGCGTAAGCCAAAAAAGTAAAACTATAAAGTCTCACTTGAAAAAAAAAAAAAAAAAAAAAAAAAGGCAGGGGCTGGATTCAGCCCCACAGCCCCAGCCACAGTCTGCCAGCCCCTGTGTTAAAATTCCCTGGGTTCCTTCATTCCCCAGACCCGCCCTGGGGGCCGCCACCCGGACTTCCACCTACAACAGTGCCTCCACCTGCCTTCAATGATCTTCGAGGCAAACTCCCGGACAGACTTGAGGGAAGCCAGGTCCAGGTGCCTAGCATGGACGTGGTGGTTGAGGGTTTCCCGGCGAATGTCCTTGGCCGCTGCCTCACACTTCTCCATGTCTCGGCAGGCCAGGATGATGCGGCCTCCTGGAGGCCCGGGAGAGGAAAACATTTGAAATAAATAATCCACTCCCAGATGTCAAACCAAGAGAAATGAAAACATACATCCACCCAAAAATGTGCACACCATGTTCACTGCAGCATTATTCACAAGGGCCAAAAGGTAGAGACAACCAGGCCAGATGTGGTGGCTCACACCTATAACCTCAGCACTTTGGGAGGTCAAGGCAGGATTGCTTGAGCCGAGAGTTCAAGGTCAGCCTGGGCAACATACCAAGAACTTGTCTCCACAAAAAATAAATAAATAAATAAATAAATAAATAAAATCAGACAATTAACCAGGCAGGATGGCATGCACCTGTCGTCCCAGCTACTTGGGAGGCTGAGGAGGGAGGATCACCTGAGCCCAGAAGGTTGAGGCTACAGTAAGCTGTGATCGTGCTACTGCGCTCCAGCCTGGGCAAGAGTGAGACCTGACTCAAAAAATAAAACCAAAAAACTTAAAATATATATATATAAAGAAACAGCCAGGCATGGTGGCTCATGCCTGTCATCTCAGCACTTTGGGAAGCCAAGGCAAGAGGATGGCCTGAGCCCAGGGGCTGGAGACCAGCCTGGGCAACCTGGTGAGACTTCATCTCTACAATAAACCAAAAAGTTTGCCGGGCATTGATGCGTGATGCGTGCCTATATTTCCAGTTACTTGGAAGGCTGAGGCAGAAGGATCGCCTGAGCCCAGCAGGTCAAGGCTACAGTGAGACCTGATTGTGCCACTGGACTCTAGGCTGGGTGACGGAGGGAGACTCCGACTCAAAAAAAATGTGGTCTGTGGTCTATTCAAACAGTGGAGTATTAGCCACAAAAAGGAGTGAAGCACTGATCCACACAACAATGTGGATGAACCTCAAAAACATTATGCGAGGCGTGGTGGCACATCCTTTAGTCTCAGCTACTTGGGAGGCTGAGGCAGGTGAATTGTTTGAGCCCAGGAGGTTGAGGCTGCGGTGAGTTATGACCCCACATTACTGCACTCCAGCCTGGGTGACGGAGCAATGCCCTCTCTGAAAAATATATAAATAAATGTTTGTTGTGTGTTTTCATAAATGTTTTGTTTTTGTTTTTTGAGTTGGAGTTTAACTCCAATGCCCAGGATGAACTGCAGTGGCATGCTCATGGCCACCGCAGCCTCAACCTGCTGGGCTCTGGAGATCCTTCCACCTCAGCCTTCCAAGTAGCTGGAACTACAGGCGTGCACTAGCACACCCGGCTAATTTTTGATTTATTGTAGAGATGAGGTCTCGCCAAGTTGCCCAGGCTGGTCTCGAACCTGCAGACTTAGGCAATCCACTCACCTCAGCCTCCCAAAGTGCTAAGATTACAGGCTGAGCCACTGAGCCTGACCATAAATAAGTGTTTTAATTAGAAAACTGAAGGCCAGGCATCGGTGGCTACCACCTGTAATGCCAGCATTTTGGGAGGACAAGGTGGAAGGACTGCTTGAGCCTAGAAGTTCAAGACCAGCCTGGGTAACACAGTAAGACCCCTTCTCTACAAAAATATTTTTAAAATATTAGCCAGGCATGGTGGTGCATGCCTGTAGTCCCAGCAACTCGGAAGGCTGCAGCAGGAGGATTGGCTGACCCCAGGAGATCAAGACTGCGGTAAGCCGTGATCATGCCACTGCACTCCAGCCTGGGTGACTGAGTGAGACCCTGACTCAAAAACAAAAATCTGAGAACAGGAAACAAGGAAAGAGCAAAGGGCAGGCAGCAGCGAGGCCAGCCTTGCAGATCTGTGCGGTTCCTCCCGCCCTTGGCTGACACTCCCATCTCACAGCCTCCACCTTCACCGCATGCACATCAGAGCTCAGCAGACTCCGGGTCTGCTGGTTCAGCGGCAGCCGGGCCTCATCAGCAGAGGGTGCGTCTGCCCACTGCAATCCTACCACTGCTCTAACCTTGGGGTGGACAAGGCAGCGCGGGCTGGGTCCATCGGGGCCTACTCCCCTGGCCACCCCAACTTCACATGCCTAATGTTTAAATCTTTTTATAGAGGCGAGGTCTTGCTATGTTGCCCAGGCTGGTCTCGAACTCCTGGGCTCAAGCAATCCTCCAGCCTCGGCCTCCCAAAGTGTTGGAATTACAGGCAAGAGTCACCATACCCAGCCTCATCTTAACTTTTTTTTTTTTTTTTTTGAGTCGGAGTCTCACTCTGTCACCCAGGCTGGAGTACAGTGGCACGCTCCCAGCCATCACAGCCCCAACTGCTGGGCTCAGGTGATCCTTCTTCCTCAGTCTTCCAAGTAGCTGGAACTACAGGCACTTGCCAGCACGCCTGGCTAATTTTTTGACTTACTGTAGAGATGACATTTCATCAAGTTGCCCAGGCTGATCTCGAACCCGTGGGCTCAGGTAATTCTCTCACCACAGCCTCCCAAAGTGCTGGGATTATAGATGTGAGCCACTGCACCCAGCCAACTATTTTGTTGTTGTTCTTGTTTTTGAGTTGGAGTCTCACTCTGTCGCCCAGACTGGAGGGCAGTGGCCGCTCCCAGTCACCGCAGCCTCGACCTGCTGGGCTCCGGCAATCCTTCCACCTCCGCCTTCCAAGTAGCTGGAATTATACGTGCGCGCTACCACGCCCAGCTAATTTTTTGATTTATTGTAGAGATGAGGTCTCGCCAAGTTGCCCAAGCAGGTCTCGAACCCCCAGGCTCAGGCAATACACTCACCTCCGCCTCCCAAAGTGCTGGGATTACAGGCTTGAGCCACCATGCCCGCCCGGTCAATCTTACTTTATTTTTTTGAGTTGGAGTCTCATTCAGTTGCCCAGGCTGAAATGCAATGGCACGCTCATGGCCACTCCAGTGTTGACCTGCTGGGCTCCGGCGATCCTTCTGCCTCAGCCTTCCAAGCAGCTGGAACTACAGATGTGCGCTATCATACCCAGCTAATTTTTTATTTTTTTATTTTTATTTTTTGAGTTGGAGTCTCACTCTGTTGCCTAGACTGGAGTGCAATGGCCGCTCCCGGCCACTGCAACCTCGCCTGCTGGGCTCTGGCGATTCTTCCGCCTCAGCCTTCCGAGTAGCCGGAATTACAGGCATGCGCTACCATGCCCGGCTGATTTTTTGATTTATTGTAGAGATGAGGTCTCGCTGCCCAGGCGGGTCTCGAACCCGCGGGCTCAGGCAATCCACTCACCTCAGCCTCACAAAGTTCTGGGATTACAGGCTGAGCCACCAAGCCCAGCCAATCTTAACTATTTTTAAATGACTGGTTCATTAAATACATTCATAATGTTGTGCAACCATCGCCAACACCCATCTCCAAACCTTTTTCATCTTCCCAAACTAAAATTCCGTGCCATTAAACAACTCCCAGTCCCTGGCAAGCACCACCCTACTCTCCGTCTCTGAGAATCCGACTCCTCTGAGCACCTCATCTAAGTGGAATGCTGAAGGATTCGTCCTTCTGTGATGGGCTGATTTCACTTGGCATCATGTCCTCAAGGGTCATCCAAGCTGCGGCATATGTCAGAATTGCCCTCTTTTTCAAGGCTGAGTAATATTCTACCATATGGAAAGGTCATGTTCTATTTACCCATCACCTGTGAGTAGGCACTGGGTGGCTTCCCCTTTTGTGCTATTGTGAGCGATGCTGCCATGAACATGGGAGCCCAAGTATCTCTTTGAGACCCAAAGCAGGCAGGTTTTACCTCTCCTGGCCAGTTCCATGGCTGTCTGTTTCCCGATGCCCGTGTTGGCACCCGTCACAATGACCGTCTTTCCGGGGATGGTGGCCTTGCTGGGGCAGGCCCCGCTGGTGACATAGTCCCTGAGGACAAGAAACAACACAACAGTCTTGTCTGTCTGTCTACTATCAACCCGTGCACCCGACTGAATGACCCCTCTGAGCTCAATGGAGTGACGGGAACAAAAGCATGACACACCGTGGGGTGGCTGTCATGTTCCCCATGAAAGGCTCCACCCAGGAGGAGTGTGGAAAGCCTTCGTGAGGTGGAAATCAATATTTATAAAGACCCACTGTGGGAGATTCCTATAGCCAAATACCAAACTCAGTGACTTAAAACTATATGCACCAGGTCCGTAGCTCACGCCTGTAATCCCAGCACTTGGGAAGTTGAGAATAGTGAGGATCATTTGAGCCCAGGAGTTAGAGACCAGCCTGGGCAACGTAGTGGGACCTGGTCTCTACAAGAAATCAAAAAATTAGCGGGGTGTGGTGGCACGCACCTGTAGTTCCAGCTACTCAGGAGGCTGAGGCAGAAGGATCACCTAAGCCCAGGAGGTCAAGGCTGTGATAAGCCATGTTCATGCCACTGCACTCCAGCCTGGGTGACAGAGAGAGACCCCAACTCAAAAAAAAAAAGAAAGGCCAGGAGCTCATGCCTATAATCCCAGCACTTTGGGAGGCCGAGATGAGAGTATTGTCTGAGCCTCGGGGGTTCAAGACCAGCCTGGGCAACTTGGTGAGAACTCATCTCTACAATAAATCAAAATATTAGCCAGGCGTGGTGGTGCGTGCCTGTAGTTCTGGCTGAGGTGGAAGGATCACCTGAGCCCAGCAGGTCAAGGCTGCGGTGGCTATAAGTGTGCCAGTGCACTCCAGCCTGGGCAACAGAGTGAGACTTCAACTCAAAAAAGAAAAAGAAAAAAAGGCCAGGATTGGTGGCTCACACCTGTAATCCCAGTACTTTGGGAGGCCGAGGCAGGAGGATTGCCCGAGCCCAGGAGTTTGAGACTGGCCTGGGCAACATAATCAGACCTCGTCTCTACAAAAAATGAAAAAGTGAGTCAGGCGTGGTGGCATGCACCTATAGTCCCAGCTACTCAGGAAGCTGAAGAGGGAGGATTGCCTGAGCCCAGGAGGTCAATCAAGGCTGTGGTGAGCCATGATCGTGCCACAGCACTCCAGCCTGGGCAACAGACTGAGACCCCAACCAAAACAAACAAAACAAAATGGGAATGAATGCATCATTCAGCCCTGCAGGTCAGAAGTCCCAGACTGGTCTCCCCAGGATAAAATCAAGGCGGGAGCAGAACCAGTTCTTCCTGGAGGCTCTGGGGGAACGCATTTGGCACCTTTTCTAGCTCCCAGAGGCCGCCAGCGTCCCTCAGCCCTCGTCCCTCGTCCCTCCTCCATCCTCAAAGTCCGTCACACCCACCTTGGCTCCCTCTCCTAACCCTTCTCCAACTCTGACCCCTGACCTGCCCCTGACCAGGATCCCATGCAATCTCGTGGGTCCCTCAGATGGCCCAAGACAAGCTCCCCACCTCGAGACCCTTCACATCAGCAAAGTCCCCTCTGACGTGTGAAGTCATGCGGTCATGGGTTTCGAGGATCAGGAAGGGACACTGCCAGGGGCTGTCACCCTGCCGACCACTCACACATGCCAGAGGCTGACACTGGAGACAAGCTAATGTCCGCCCAGTGGGAACAGCACCAAATCCACGCGAGAAGGGCACTGCACAGTTCCGTGGCCACCAGCCACGAGAGGCTGGTTTTTTGCGTTTTGTTCGTTTGCTTTTGAGTGGAAGTCTCACCCTGTCGCCCAAGCTGGAAGGCAGAGGCTCACTCACAGCCACCACAGCCTCAACCTACTGGACTCAGATGATCCTTCCGCCCCAGTCTTCCAAGTAGCTGGAATTATAGGCACGTGCCACGACGCCCGGCTAATTTTTGGTTTACTGCAGAGACAAGGTCTTGCCAAGTTGCCCAGGCTGGTCTCCAATCTCTGGGCTCAGGCAATCCTCTTGCTTCTGCTTCCCAAAGTGCTGGGACTACAAGCATGAACCACCATGCCCGGTGAGGTATACATTACCACCATTTTTAATTTTTATTTCTTTTCAAGTGGGAAGTGCACTTAACAGGTCAAAATTTTAAATCTCAAAAATCTTCTTGGTCAGTAGGTCATCCTTGTAATTCCAGCACACTGGGAGGTCGAAACCGATGCAGGAGGATTGCTTAAGGCCAGGGGTTCAAGACCAGCCTGGGCCACATAGCAAAATCTCATCTCCACGAAAAACTAAGGATTAGCTGGGCGCGTGGTGGCACAAACCTGGAGTCCCAGCTATTCAGGAGGCTGAGGCAGGAGGACTGCTTAAGGTCAGGGGTTCAAGACCAGCCTGGGCAACATAGGAAATCTCATCTCCACAAAAAATCAAGGATTAGCTGGACCCAAGCCACTCGGGACGCTGAGGCAGGAGGATCGCCTGAGCCCAGGAGATGGCGGCTGCGGTGGGCCGTGACCTTGCTGCCACACTCCAGCCTGAACGTTTGCAAGACCCAGCCCCGCCCCCTCCCCGGGTGACCTTGGGCCGGTGACCGGCCCGGTGGCCTCCGCCTGGGTTTGCTCAGTCTGGGAGGTCGCGACTGGTCGGGGGAGCTGGAGGGAGGGGGAAGCTAGGGCGGAAGGGGGAAGCTCGGGTGGGCGAGAAGGGGGCTGTCTCTCCTGGGTCCTCCCGCCGCCCCTCCCGCCA